GATCCTCAGAACCACATAAAAATAAAATAAAGATATTGTGTCCACCTAAAACTAAAAAATAAATCATAAGTCTTTCAGAAAACAATGAATGGCTTTGTAGATGAAGCATCTTCATTTCTATTTTCTAACATCTTTAATACACGAAATATTTTAAAATACTAAGCTAATAGGTTCAAATCTGTGCTATTTACCATCTAAAAAAGAAAACTAGACATGTCACTTAAAAGTATTAACAACTTGCTATTTTTAAACAAGTCCCTTTGATTCAACTCTCCTTAAAAGACTCCCTTAAATCCTTTTAAGTAATAAATTCAAAATTTTAGTTCAGGTAAAGAGATTTAAACCCTTCTTTTAAGAAACAGGAAAAGGGTGAGATGACGTTTTTATTGGCTTTACACTATCAAAGACGGTGGAACATAGTGAAAGACGCACTATTTGTTCACAGTAGAACTAAACTCGTGCTATAAGCAAAAACCTGGTTTAACTTTGATAAGCCACTTGAAATTTGCTGCTAGAGCAAAGAAAACCTGCCAGACTTCAGCAGAGAAAGAACTGTTTGCATAAAGTCTATCAAGTTAAAAGAACTGACCAGAAATCCCTACCCTGCTGTTTAAGTCCCTCATCTGAAAGACTTTCTTTGTAAGAAATCTTCGAATTCGGTTCCTGGTCTTAATAAAAAAGCTTTATCAAAAGCTACAATGCACCGCCTGCCTCTCCCCCTCCCTCCACTATGCCCCTTCAGCCTAGACCCCTCTCTAGGGCAACAGATGAGATAGTTCAACTTAAATCCTAACAGCACACTGCCTCAGTACCCACAGTAGCGTTCCCCACCCTAGAGACCTTTAATTCTTGCTAAAGAATATTCTAAGCCAAACGTACAGTCAACAGCGTCAACCTTCGGGCTCCAAAATACAAAATGTACCTGTAGAGTATCCACTGCACAGCAAACAAGGCACAGCTCCAAACTCGTGTCCTCTACCCTTTTTGTTCCCTCCCAGCCCTCCCTCCTTTTCCATGTTGAACTTTAGCAGAGCTTTTGGCTCCCTTATCTGCCAGCAACTGGCGCCAGGAGGACCGCGCTCCCGGGAGATGCGGAGCTTGGCGGCAGACCGCTGCGTCTGGCGCGCTGCGGCCGCTGAGCTCACTCCAGCTCAGAGCCGCTCAGAGCAGCTCAGAGCGGCCAGGTAGTCCCCGGATCGCGCCTCTGTCGCCTCGAGAGGCTCTCGCGGGAGCCGGCCTCACCTCAGGGGATTCCCTCGATGAGAAGTCGCGCCAGACCTTGCTACCTTGCCTCCCGCCCCTCACCCTCGAACGAACAACACAGCAGTCCCGCCGGGGCAACTCCGAAGCCTCGCGGCAATTCGAGGGTCCTTCGCCCCAGGGAACGCGGCTCTCCCACACACTTGCCCACCAGGTCCTTCCCTTCCCTTCCCCACCCGGGCCTGAGTGGGTCCAGTACCATTCTCCTCACGGGGCAGACTCCGGAAGGGCAGCAACTCCACCTCCTCCTCCTCCGCGGCCTGTAGCCATCTATCGGGAAGCGTCTCCGGAGGCGGCAGCAGAGGCCGCCGGACAAGGACAGCCCAGGGAAACCTTCTCAGAACTAACTCAGCTCCAGCGCTAGCAGCAGAAGTCGAGTCTTTCATAATTGTGCGACCAACTCCGCCGGATGACTGGCCACAGGGACGCGCCCGCGCCCGCCTCCGCCGGCGACGGGGCTGAAGACAGACCACGTGAGGGGCGCGTCGTGTGCGTCGCCGCCCGCGGATCGGGTCACGTGAAGGGCGCGCGCTCCCGCGTTCCCAGGCCCCCTCCGTGCGCGGAGCGCGCTCGCCGGGCGCGAGCATCGTCAGCCTCGCCGCCCGTGGTCTCCTGGCTCCGGGAGCTTTCTCCCTAGCTCTCCAATAGGTGCGTCGGCGGGTCTGCCCTAGCTCCCGGGTTGGAATTTGAGGAAGCAGGTTAAGGTTCCAGGCCTCCCCGGGATCCAACCTGGAGCT